GGCATTATTATGTCTTCTTCTGCATTAAGCTAATTTTTTGCGAGTGAATTAAGGATAAGGAGAACTTAAAGAAAACTGCTGAATAGATAAAATAATGTATTAATGCATACTTCTATTGATATGACTGTCAATTGCGAACAGAATACTGCAGAATGTGATTCTTAAGATGTCTATTTCGATGCTTGATTAGAATCTTTAGATTCAGAAAAACATAAATTTTGTCAGGCGATTTTGTTTTTTTCTCAGAAATCCTATCGTGAATTGTCTTCGCAGTTCAGAACTCATCATCTCAACGGCCATCCAGTGGAGATGAAAGTGAAAAATGTGATTTAAGAAAACTTTTTCCTAAAACTACGGCAGAATTCACTTTTGAGACATATGCAGTTGTGAACGAACAGTCGAAGTTGTCTCGCACATCTCTAAATTCCCATACAGTCCTTCGATAAGAATACGTTTATTAGATCTGATTCGTTGGTGATGATGATAAATTGGTTTACTTGTTATTTCATACAATAGCGATTTATTTGGATGTATTGGGAAGGCTGAAATTAGACATTCAAAGTGTGGAATGATAGATTTGGTTGTTGCTTAGTTATGCTTTCTTGTTGCTGTCGTAATTAACGATCGCGAACTCGACACGGCCAATCGTCGGTAGCACCAATTTCTCGTAAAACTTTTGTGCACCGCAAGTTTGTGGCAAAAACAGATAAAGTAGGAAAACGGCCTGAAATTAGGATTGTCTCACAATATTCCTCATGGTTGAACGATTATCGCTGACTTTAAAGTGATCTGGCTTTTAAACTTATTGTATTTTCGGCATATTCGCACAATGATCTAGTTTTTTCTTTCAGAATAATGATTTTCTGACCGAAAGTGACAAACTCCTTGTCGAACTTCTCATCCTCAAAAACGAACCTTGCAAAGCCAATAAACCGGAAAAGCGCTGCGGATATTTTCCGAATAGAAATCAGTAAGCGAGAAAGCGCCAAAAACGGTCCAATAAACAAGCCATGGGATCCCTTGATCTTTNAAAAAAAAAACTCCAGTTTTTATCAATGATGAGTCTCACTCAAGCCCCATATTTAATCAGAAGAATTCTGTCTTACACTCTTATCGCCAGCTGTTGAATAGCGCTCTCCAGCTATTCCGTCATCACGAAATTGGAGACGAGATCGGTCTACAGATTGTTCAGTGATGACCTGATCTGTTTGATCTTTTACATGACTTAAGTTATAATATTGTTCTATTGTGATGAGAAGAGATATGTGCATATACCTGAAGGGTGGCGAATGCAGGATAGATGAAACCGATCAGGTTGCACATGAGACCGGCCTCTGAGCCGAACACGAGGTAACAGAAAACGAACGCAGTCATTCCGTAAAAGAATTGTTCGCGTTTCACTCCACTTTTCTCTTCTAGAGTTTGCACATCCCTAGCCGCCTGACCCGTCAGTTTATTGTAAAGTAGATCGATGACCGCCGGCTGGATGTCGTTGAATGAGTTGATGGTTGCTTGTGAAGGCGTTGACGCATTGCCACTGTTAGCCTTCTCAGCACTGCCACGTTCACCTTTCGAGCCGAGCATTTTCACACTGAAATCATTTATTCCATTCGCTGTGACTTATATTTTCAAGTTCGAAATAACGAGTTTTTTGCAGCAAAAATGGAGTGTGCAATTCCATTCCAAACACTTCAAGTATTCCATTGGAAACTTAAAATGATAGCAATTTGAAGGAACGCAATGATTCTGTATATGAGCCGATACAAGTCTATATTTTCATGATCAATACAGGATCTTT